ACGACACAACATCAACTGGTTGGAGCTTCATGCGGTATACCTAGCCCTGCGAGCTTTCGCTCCTCAGGTGAGAAGGCACCACATCCTGGTCCTTACGGACAACACCACCACCAAAGCCCATATCAACCGTCAGGGAGGCACCCACTCCATCATCCTCATGAGAGAAGCCGAACGACTCTGTCGGTGGGCAGAGACGCATCTTTCCTCCATCAGGGCAGAGCACATTTCCGGGGTCTCCAACGTCCAGGCAGACTGGCTGAGCAGGGCCACGTTGGACCCAGAAGAGTGGCGCCTGCATCCGCGGTTGTTCAGGGAAGCAGCAGACAGGTTCGGGTCTCCTCTGGTAGACCTCTTTGCCTCGCCGCTCAACACGCAGACACCAAGGTTCTTCTCTCGGTTCCCTTCCCACGGGGCAGAGAACCACGACGCCCTGCGTTGCCCGTGGCCTCCCGGCCTCCTGTACGCCTTCCCTCCGCTTCCGCTGATCCCCAGGGTAATTCGGAAGTTGCTGTTCGAGAGGGCGGAGATCCTACTAGTGGCCCCATATTGGCCCAGGAGGCCGTGGTTTGCGGATCTTCACGGTCTATCGGTGGTTCCGCCGTGGAGGATCCCGCTGGACCAGATCTCCCTGTCACAGGGACCTCTGCTTCATCCAGAACCACAGTGGCTGCAGCTAGCCGTCTGGAGGTTGAGCGGGAAACGATGATTGAAGAAGGCTTGTCTACCCAGGTCATAGATACCATTCTGGCTGCCAGGAGGCCTTCCACTACTCGAATTTATGATTCAACTTGGAACAGCTTCGTTAAGTGGTGCCGAAAATCCTCTGTCAATCCTCGCTCTCCTTCTATAGCACAAATTCTAGCCTTTTTACAGGATGGCCTAAATGAAGGTCTCTCTCCCAACACGTTGAGAAGACAGGTCGCGGCCCTCTCAACGGTGGTGGCTGGCGGCTCCTTCAGCTCTCTTTCCCACCACCCTCGCATTAAGGCCTTTCTAAAAGGGGCTTCTAATTTGCGCCCGCCGGTAGTGCATAGATATCCAACATGGGACCTTAACAAAGTTCTCCTGGCCTTGACTAGGCCTCCCTTTGAACCTCTCAGGGAGGTACCACTCCAGTTTCTCACCTTTAAGGTGGTCTTTCTTGTAGCGATCACCTCAGCTAGAAGGATATCTGAAATTGCAGCTCTATCCGTGAGAAAGGACTTGTGCATTTTTCATTCTGATCGAGTTGTCTTGAGACCAGACCCCTCCTTTTTACCAAAAATCAATTCTGCTTTTCACAGGACGCAGGAGTTGGTCCTACCTAATTTTTGTCCAAAGCCTCTGCATGATAGGGAGAGGCAATGGCACACCCTCGATGTTCGAAGGGCGTTGCGTATTTACATATGTCACACGCAATCCATCAGGAGATCGGAGTCCCTGTTTTTGTCATTTCAGCCTAAAACGCTGGGTCAAAAGGTACCACCATCCACGGTAGGCCGGTGGATTAGGGCGACCATTTCCAAGGCCTATTCAGTTCAAGCTCTTCCAATCCCCAGTGGGATAACGGCTCATTCCACCAGGAGCGCAGCTACATCAATAGCTTGGGCTACTCAAGCCTCGCTTCTTGACATTTGCCGGGCGGCCACTTGGGCCTCTCCGTCACCTTTCATACGCCACTATAAGATTGACACTTTCGCTTCGGCTGAAGCGTCCTTTGGCAGGCGAGTCCTACAGCAAGTGGTTGGGGATCCTAAGGAGATTCCGATCCAGACGGAGTCCCGCCCGTAGGACAAACATGCTTTGGTATGTCCCACACTCTGGATGCTCGCAGCAGTTCTATGGAGAATGGGCGTTGGTTCTTACCTGATACGCCTCTTCTCGTAGAACTGCGTAGAGCATCCAGCCCCACCCTTCTTGGTCCGTCTGGTAGGGAATTTTGTTTTTCGGCCAATGATCGTTATTGTATATAATTGAGTTGTTTACTAGTTCAGTTAGAGGATTGTGGTTGTCCTCTCGTCTTCGCGAAACTGGGAGAACGCATGGAGGAGCCACGTGGAGGAAGGAGGAGCGTTCTTCAATTATAACTCAGCCTGTGAGAAGGAAGGACTGAAGCACCTCCCACACTCTGGATGCTCTACGCAGTTCCACGAGAAGAGGCGTATCAGGTAAGAACCAACGCCCATTTTCAGAGCTCCAGTATCACCAGTTCTCAGCTGTTTGCTAGCTGACCATTTGATCGCTCGGGGCCTGGTAAGAGCCTAAGGAGCAAGCGAGGTGTCAAGGCTATCCCAGGGCTGGCGCACGTGGCAGGTGGCCATCTTGAAGGGTGGTCGGCCATTTTATTTTGAGCTAAAATCTGCTCACCTTGCCCATGCAACAGGCGGCACTCTCAGAGGGGAAGCTCCCAGCACCTCCTGTGTCAGTCCTGTTAGCAAAATGGAGAGCGAAGTGGCCCAGTTGGGCCTCACTGGCCTGGAAGAAGTACAAGGTTTTCAGACCCCAATGAGGAAGAGAAGAAGATAAAGAGGCCATTCAGCAAGAAGAGAGGCTGCAGAAAGATCAGGGCCAAGGCCTTGGCCCCCATAAAGACATCTAAATCCGAGCTCAGGATTTCTCTGAGAAGGCATCTTGCTTTGGAAGAACAGTTTGCTAAGACACTGGGACAGATGAGAAGCCAGATCCAGCAAACTTCTCAATCAGGGGAAGAGCAGGTCCAGTTTTTGTGCTTCCCCATCTTTTATCTTCTGAGCTGTTATGATTGCTTCTGGAGTATTTTTAGGAATGCTGATTGGACACAAGGATCTCCTTTTAAATAAGGATGATGATGAAGCTTTGCAATATGCCAGTTTTCTACTTCATGAAAATTATTTTAATTTAAAATAAGTGGGTCAAAGTTTGGTAAGTGTCAAAATACATGTTGACAAATCCCACATTGGGAATTCAGCCTATATCTTAGTTCAGTGTAGGCATGGAAATTAATAAATATTTGTTCATTCAGATATTTAAAAAATAGCATTTCCTCATAGAACCATGTGATCAATACAAATTCTGAACTCCATGGTCAAGGATTAAGATTACTACAAATGAACAATATTAGAGGTAGACTTTTAAAACCTCTTAATCAAGATGTTAGTAAAACGCAAGTGATGGGAGAGGATTATCTGACTTTAGGCTGAAGATGTTAAATCTGCTTAATTAGAGGCTTTAAGATTCAGTGAAAGGAATACTGCATATCTGCTTTCTGCTAGGTATAAAGTTCAGATTATCTCAAAGCTTCGGGCTATGAAATGTGTCTTCAATTCTTAAAAGAATCAACGAAAACCATTTTTGTACAGAGCTCTTAGGCAATTTTTGAAATCAACAAAGTTATTGTTGAATCTTGAGTTATACATTAGATAAACATTGCAAGAGGAAATGTATTTTTTCAATTTCATTAAAATTATTATAACATGGAGAGAGATATTGAATATGCAGACAGCTCTGTGCCTAGTTTTGGTTATCATGACCAAGTGCTGATTTGAACTTGATTAGTTGTTCTATGGAGGTGTGCTGATGGTCAGCCTGTCTGGATTAGTTTGTTTAAAGCAAAACAAAATTTTAAAATGTTGCATAATTTCTGTGGATTATCACTCTAATAGGACTTCCCAGCTGGACTACAGGTTGTATAAAGATCAAAGATCATAGGCCAATTACAAAATGTTTTATTAATATTTTAGGGAAAATATTATTGTACTTAGACATGTTCAGAGATCATGTGTCAAATATATAAGTATTTAGAAGAAAATTGCCAACAGTTTGAACATTTAATATAATTTATGTAATTTTCAATGAAGCCTGACTTTTGATGCATTGAATGTATACTAACTGCTATGGCTTTAGGAATGTTATTTTGACTTGTCTACTATATTTACTTCTCAACCATGTGTAGACTCCATCCATGGTTGCCTTTTACTTTCGTTTTTAAAAGTTTCACAAATAGACTTTGACTTACAACTATTGGAAATACAATGGTTACAATGGTCTTCAGAGTTCTTGCTGGCATACACACCCATGTGGTCATTTGATCACAGTCTGGGCGCTTGTACTTATAATCAGTTAAAATGCCCCGTGATCATCACTTACAGTCTTCTCTGTCAGCTTGCCCACTGACCGGTTATGGGAAGCTGATGAGAATTCGCCTCACCTAATAATTGTGGGATGATTATGCTTTATGACCACATTGCTCAGCAGCAGAAATTCTGGTTCCAATTGCCATTGTAAGTGAGGGCTCCCTGTACATGACTTGCAGCATTTAGATGCTGTTTATTCTTTGTATTTGCCGGTGCATAGAAACTAGTAAACATTATTTCTGTTTTTGATTATTTCTCTCTTAAGAATTCAGATCATTAATAATTAATGACATAGCCTTCCAATTTTGGACTGCTTTTACTTGCCTCCCCGCTTTTTAGTGTCAAAATTTCCTTTCCTCAACCATCATAGGTTTTAATATTTTAATATTCCACAGTACACTGCCTCAGCTATTAGAAAAGTTCTAATTCATTCAAGAATTCCAAGACAGGGCCACAGAATTTAAAATATATTTCAGGCCAAGGTTGACATTCTTGAAAGACAAGGAAAGTTTTCTGTGAGAAAGTATAAATTTTCCTAGGTTTCAAGATTGCTTGAAAACTAAATTAAAATGTAGTTCCTTCTTACTTGTAGTATAGAGCCTAGTTCCCCAATAAGTGCCTAAAGTAAAATTAGGTGGAAAACAGTGCTACTGTTTCTCTTTGCACTATATCTAGAATGGTTGCACTATAGAACTTACCATGGCTTGGGTGTACAAAAGTGTTTCAGCAAGGAAAAGTGTTTCAGATTTCATGGGCGGAAAATGTTTGCAGTGTTTGGACCATTTCACAATGCTTTCAATATTTATAGTTCCATTGTTATACATATAACTAGTTTTTTGATGTGAGATCAAGTTTTATTTCTTTTAATAACTGGTGCACAAAAGCATTTGTCTGACTTGATGTTTTGGAGGGACAAGGGACAGAAATACGTAATTCTCTGACAGTATTGTTTTTATTTCAGGAACTTAGTGACTTGGCTCGTGACCCACCAGCTCAGTGTTCTGCAGGCCCTGTTGGAGATGACAGTAAGTTATTAATAATAAATACTGGTTCTTTTAAACGGGTTCTTGTAAACCAATATGGTTTGGGGTTTTTTCAGGGGCGGGGAGAAAAACATTTAAATAACAGTTCTTCCTTTTTCTCTTCCTTTCTCACTCTGTCATTCAGTGTTTCATTGGCAAGCTACAATTATGGGTCCTGTAAGTACTGCAGTTTTATTAACATTCATTTTAAAGTCAACTATTCAAAAGTTATTCCAGAAACACCTTATTGTTATGTTCTTATATGTGATATAAAGTTTACAGGTTTTGGCACGTTTTCATTGGACTACTGTATTTCTCATTGTGTATTCTTTAAAATGTGCTAATATCATGATTTTTTCATGGAAATCCTTTATGTAACACTGTACGTGTGAAAAACTATAATGGTTTCTTTGGGGGCTTCATGTATATCATACTTTTTATTTAAGTCAGAGTTTATTCCTTACAGCAAGTTTGCACATCAGTGATAAAATAAACTGTGTTATAACCTATGAATCAATGTAATATTACAGATGAAACTGATCTGTTGGCTAGATTTAATATTCAGGAAAAAATATTGATGGCAGCAAAGGCAGTCCAATGTCATTGTTGTCTTCTCTACTGTGTCATAACATGTAGCTATATGCTTGAAAATTTCCAGGACTCTCTATGCAGAAGGAAATGTTGAAGTCAGCCTGTCATTATGTGCATCCCATTCTTAATGTTGTCAAAGGGTGTTTTTTAAGTGTTAGCTAGCATATGAGTCATTTTGCTGCAGGTAGTTTTATTTTTAGTTAGCTACTATGGTTCTTCAGTGTCTTCTAAACCGTAGTTCCTACATAAATTTTTAACTTCTGAATTTTCTTCTTTGTCAGAACGACAGTCCATATCAAGGCGGTGTTTTCTTTCTGACAATTCATTTCCCTACAGACTACCCTTTCAAGCCACCTAAGGTCAGTAAAAATGGAAACGTAATTTAAAACATTGAATCTCTGTACGGATAGGTAACTGTGACCATTGCTAAAGAATTTTGGCTTGCCAAAGGTATAAAAAAATAGATTCTTCAGATCTCGACACTGATTTACCTTTGGGTTATAGATCTACTACATTCAAATAATTACCGAATTCCTTAAATTTGCTTTATGATTGTAACTGCAATCACTGAATATGCTTTCAGGCCATTAAAATATAGATTAGTGACAAACTTTATAAAGCTAAATACGGATATTTGGGCTGTCATATACAATGTATTATTACAATGTATTATATATTTTTAAAAACAATAGCCATTTTTCACTGTTTAGACTACTGACACTTCTATATTCTGAGTCTGTCATTGTGAATTTTTCTTACCAGCCTGAAAATAATAAAACATTGTAAAAATAGTTCTGGGAGTTTTGATACATATTTCTAAATAATAAAAATTAAAAGAGTTTTATTTTGATACTTCCCCCAGAACTAAATAGCTCCCCCCCGCTCATGCAGCTTCAGGTACCAAACCTAGAGAAAGGTGATGTGATATAGCATGTGTTAGGTTTTACACTAACCCTGAATATATTTCTGAAGAAACTGACAGAGTGGTTTTTCTTAATTAGAAAAATAGGATTGTATACAATTGAATTTACATACCTAAGTAACTATTCCACTTGTAGAATTATATTTCAAGCTATATATATTAAAAATTAAGTTTATATGAAGTTTAACAAGAGACTCTTTGATATTGTTAAGCAGAATTGTGTATATTCTAAATATTGAGAACTAGCATTTTAATCTGAAAAGGATCTGTATATTGATTGCAGATTGATCTCAATTTTTTAGGTTGCATTTACAACACGAATTTATCATCCAAATATTAACAGTAATGGCAGCATTTGTCTTGACATTCTAAGGTCACAGTGGTCTCCTGCTTTAACTATTTCTAAAGGTAAGTGCATTTGGAGGAATGTTGATATTAGCTGATTTTTTTTAATTGACAAAAAGCAGCTTGAATGTGTGTGCTTTATATTTAGATTGTACAAAATTTGTCATTCCAGGAACAGAATATTCTAGAGAACTCCTGAATATTTTGTTTCCTCCCAGACCATGTCATTCCAAGGGCAGGTTAGCACATTGAAATGATTCAAAGTATTCTGGTTGAAAGAGCTATGTTTTGGATTTGGACCACCCATGGAATGACCCTGCTTCTAGATTGAATAATTCATTTCAGTAATTCTGAATTGCCCCTGGAATATGGTTTGAAAGGATTTGTTTTTGAATTTTCCAGAATGATCTTTTCCTACATTGACAAATTTTGCACATCCCTAGTACTATATGTAGTAGAATTTGTCTTACTTTCTTTCCATTTTAGCATGATATTTGACTGTTAGTTTGAGGCAATTACCCACCAGTATTTTCCCAAGCCATGCAGTTGTCCCACAGATTTCTCTCCATTTTTTCAGAAAAAAAAATCCCAAAAATATTAACAGGAAGAGAATAATATGAACAAAGTGGAATTCAATTCAAGATATTTAGCTTCAATTGATGCTTGAACTGTGCAGTCTCACAGTGAGGTCGCTGTGCTTTTTGTAGTTTCACTTCCCTATCACATCATCATTATTGTTATTAATTTTATACAATTGTTCCATGTTCTCACTGATGTTAAAAACAACCAGTCCCTGTTGAAACAGAACAGAGATAAAGATTAAGGCTCGGTCATTAAAGAGAAGCTGAGTGGCTTCTTGCTAGGCAAAGGAATTTTATTTTTTAGACCTACACGGCTTTAACATTATCAAGAAGCAAAGACAAAGAAAAAAAAAGAATCTTGATTTGGCACACAGAGCAGTGAACCATATGAATTCAAACAATTTGGTTTATTAGAATATTCAGAATAGTATGGTGCAGGGTTATATAGGAGCATAGCCAAACAAACGTAAGTATAAAGTTTCTGGTGACCAAGTTAAGCTGTTTTTATAAAAAAAAACAACAGTTTTTTTGAAGTAAAATAAATTGGACTTTATGTTCTTGCACATGCAGAAGTAAATAACTTGTTCTTTGAACTATTTACAATTTTCTATTGCTTTCTTCTATTTGTTTCAGTTCTCTTATCCATTTGTTCACTGTTATGTGATCCAAATCCAGATGATCCCCTAGTGCCAGAGATTGCACGCATCTATAAAACAGACAGAGACAAGTAAGTATAACTTTCCAAGTATAATTTGGAAAAAAATGATACAGTGCTGAAATGTGGCAGGAGAACAGTTGAATAATTGCTGCTGTTTAAAACAGAATTGGGTGAAATATTTGTGTGTTTTTTAATCTAGAAGGCTTCAATAACATGCTAGAATAGAATTTTTATACAGTACAAAATTACTTTCAAGTTTAAAATTGCTACGGACAATTTATAAATGAGGACACTCTGGGAATAGTTTTGAGTTGGGTGGCACAAAAGTTGTGCGCTGCTTTGATAAATTTCAATATTTCTGTTTCGAAGTAAACTACATCAAAATTATCTATTAGGTCTGCTTTGTGTTTGCAATGATATTTGTCCAGATAAATTTAATAGGGCTGTATTGGCTTGTCTGTTACTAAATATACTTATCTAATTAGGTACAATAGGTTAGCAAGAGAGTGGACAGAGAAATACGCTATGCTGTAGGGTAAGACTGCACTTCATGGTGCATTAATGATGTGGGGACTTCAGCACTTGAGTGCAGCATGCTTAAGGCACTGGATTAACTAACAAAAGATTGTTCAAGTTACTGAAATACAAAGTTTTAACTGCTTGATTTATATTCAGCGTGGGAAGCCTATCTGCATGACTAGATGAGTATAGTCAAATATTTAAAAGTTTTGTAAATATTTTTTGGTTCTGGAAAAATGCACTTAGCTGGTAAGTGTTTTGGGCCCTATTCAGCACAAAAGTGACTACTTATAATTTAAATTATTTAGCAGATTAAATTTAGAAGTAAAAAAGCCTATAGGCATGTTTAGGTAGACACTAACATAATAACAGAGCATGTAAATTAGCATTGAATTGATTTCAGTGGAGTTCTGCACAGTTCTCTCACATTCCCTGCTTATGCGAGAGGCTGGCTATATTTAGTATCTAAGGGTTTGTTTGTGTGAAGTTTTGCTAGAAAAAAATATCTGTTTTATACTTTTATGTGATTTCTAATATGCAATATTGTGTACTTTTATATACTATATTAAAATTGGCAAGTGTGCTTTGTCCAGAATCCACTGCAAAACTTTTAAAATAGTGGCAAAAATATTATGTTGATGGTTCATACTCTTATTAATGCTGTACAAATGTCCAAGTGAATTTTTGAGTTGATACCAGTTAGTATTGTTTTGAATCATAGGAAATTATAGAGATATTGCACATCTAGAATTACGATTTCCTAGTTTTTATATTCTCTTTAAAACTTTTAATCAAATAAATTGAGTAATCTCATTCAAAAAGCAAGACTTTAAATTGTCTTGATTTTTAGAATGAATTATTCAAGTTATCCTAAAATTTTGAATATTATGTTCTAAGAAAGCTAAGTAGATTTTAGTTAATTTTTAAAAATTTGAATTTATTAAAAAATTTAAAGAGAATATGGCTTTTTTTACATGACCATTTGATGTTGTTCACATTTCCAGAAAGCCAAGTAGATTTTCGTCATTGGTAACCATTTTCAAAATGATTTGGGGTGTTCCTGTTATTGACTTATATATTTCTGTTTTAGAAACTATTTTTTCCAGATTTCATTGGAATACATTAAATATTTTGCAAAGTTAGTATAATTGATTATGTTCATGAGTCACTACAAAGACTATGTAATATCAGATCAAATCTTAATTACAGTCAAAGGCCAGCACAGAACTTTGTGATGTGTTACATTTTTGTTGCTGGCTCTGTTTTTTCTGATATATATGTTTATATGTATAGTATATATAATATTTTTAAAAGATTTAAATTTTTTAAAAAGCATTTTATTTCCTTTTCCAGGTACAACAGAATATCTCGGGAATGGACTCAGAAGTATGCCATGTGATGCTACCTTAAGTCAGAATAACCTGCATTATAGCTGGAATAAACTTTAAATTACTGTTCTTTTTTGATTTTCTTATCCGGCTGCTCCCCTATCAGACCTCATCTTTTTTTTTTTTTTAATTTACCTCTATCCATTCATGCACATGCTCATCTGAGAAGACTTTAGCTCTTCCAGCTTTGGACAATAACTGCTTTTTAGAATTTGTAAAGTAGTTATACAAGAACAATTGCCCAAGATTCAGAATTCTTTAAATGGAGCATGTGTGTTGTGGCCAATGTCTTCACTCTAACCTGGTTATGAGATTGAAATCATTCCTCACTGCTCTAACAGTTCTTCTGAAGATATCACCCAAAGGGAGGGGAGATGGATGTTCAGTTTGCTCACATCACAGGAAATAGCATTGCTGTAGCATCATCCATCTTGTTTTAAAACCTTCCAGTGTTAGAGACTGAGGTTTCATGACATACTTGTGCTCATAACTGGTATGGCTGGAGAATTGGTACAGAACTTGTAGCATCATCAGAACAGAACACGTGATGTATCTTATGCATGTCAATAAAGGAATGACCAGTTCTTGTTCTACAGAGAATGGAGATTGGAAGTCCAACATCCCTTGTATTCCAAAATAGGGTCTCGGAACATTTTTGTAATTCTCATTTAAATTTTGTTAGGATGCTTGGAGCTATTAGTTAATCTATCTTCCACAGCAGTTTAATATAGCACTGAAAAAATGATGCAAGTTGTCAATGGATGAATGATCAACTAATAGCTCTCCTAGTAATTGATTTTATTTTCTTCAATAAAGTTACATAAACCAATGAGTTAGCTGCCTGAATTAATCAGTATGGGAAACAAAGTCTTTTGTAAAAGCAAAGGTGGTTTTTGTATATACTTGTTGGGATTTGCCTCATTGTTTGACATCAAATAATGATGTGAAGTTAGTAGAGTGAACCTTTTTGCCATGTTCAGTTATAATACTTGGTCTGTGTTCAGGTTGACACATTGATCAGCCCTGGAAGATGCAGAATTAATAAGCTAACCTAGTAGTGTAGACTTTAGTGAGCTACACAAGGTCTTGGAAACCAAGTTTTCAACTACAGGCTTGGAATCCAGCTGATATATGTACAGGTGTATTGTGGAGGCTTCACCAAATGCACCCAGCTTGCTAACTGAGAAGCATTTATTCGCCTTGTATACTTGACAGCTGAAAGATCTTTTTGTGGGAGTAAAGAGACAAAATTGCAAAATAAAGTACTGTTTTGATGTGGGAATTGTCATGAGGTTGTGTTGAAGTGACTTTTCAATGTGGGATGTTTGCTGTCCAAAGGATTATCATGCTACAACCTATATTAACATTTTTGCTGCAAGGGTCACTATTTCAGGGTGACTAAAACTTAATAAAGTCATTGCTATAGTGTTTTCTGTTTTAAGAAGCACTGACTTGTGCCACTAATTCTTGTTTGATAATGATGAATTTTATCCTTTTTGCATCATAATTTTGTCTCTATCCAGGTCTACAGTTGAGTATCTGCTAATCCTGTGCTATGAGTGTGCTTCTGCCACTTCTACTTCCATCAATGTTTTTTCCTCAACATAATTTTGGAATTATCATTGTAAAATAAATGTAGACTATACATTTTATGAAAGGGGAACAGGTTTGCCCATGATTTGTTTCACCTTTTTTTTAAAAATCACATTTTGGTAAATTCAGTTTTGTCAGTGTGGTACACCAAGTTCCACCCAAGTGCTTTGAATGTATTATGATGTAAGTAAAAACAATTTTACAGGGTGAAGAGAGATTACTTGAAGAATCAGGGCCAACAATTAAAATAAGGCTCCTTTGCTCAGTTTGCAATAAAATCCTTAATTATAGGGAACATGGCATTTTTACTAAAATGTTACTAAGGTAGCCTTCTTCAACTTGGTGCCCTTTAGATATGTTGAGATTATAGCTCCCAGCATATCTGAAAAGCCTATTTCTATTGCCTTCAGATGATGTAACTTACATTTGACTCTCATATACAAGCTGACTTCTAATATAACACTGATTGCTTATTATATAATCTGCACAACTTTGATAGAAAAACATTTCACAGTTCAACAGTGATTGCTTGCAAGCTTAAACACATAAAACTTGATTGTCATGTAGTTGTAATTACAGAAGAATCTTTGCCTTTCCTGAAGCTTCTTAAATTCTGTGGCATGCTATAATAAGCCTCTTTTCCCTCTTCACATGCTTGACAAAATAAAACTCATAGGTTGGTTATTCTGCTGTATAGACTTACTCGTAAAGACTAGGAACATGCGTGGATTAGATTTTCTGTATAAATGCCTATTTCAGAATTCACTGCTTTCCTACACTCAGTTTTTAATTCCAAGACCTTTGTACTGTTTAACATTTATGTTTGCCTTGGAAAAGTTTCAACAACTTACTTAGCCTTGGAAAAGAATTGATTTGGTTTATTTGATTCTATCCTATTGGAGTGTTTAATAAATATAAAGAGTGTCATGACATCTATTTTTCATCATTGACCAGTGCTTAGAGGATGGCAACATAAGACTGCTATCCCCAGATCATTTTGTCTACCAGTGCAGTAGCAATCTTGGGTATGTTGAGGTCATGTAGATGTAATTCTGCGATACATCAGATGAGGCATCTGACTTTTTGGCATGGTCCTAATTGGTCTTGGAATCATGTTAGTGTATGTCAATCTGGCAAGCAAAATAGAATTCCACTTTGCAGTGCAAATCCTCATTTAGCAACTACAATTGGCATTGACAACTTGGCCATTAAGCAAAGCAGTCATCAAATGAATACACTGCTTATTATCTATCTTCAGGATCCTAGAAAACGAAAGTTTAGTGAACAAAACAATTACTAAACAAGGACTAATTTATTTTTTTCTAGATGCTATGAACTGAAAATAGATTGAATCTTGGTCTTGAACCCTTTTTCTCACAACTTGATGTTGGAATATAGTTGGTTTGTATGATCTTAACGCTCATTTGTACACATACACACAGCATTATTAGCAGTAACAATACATTGGATTTTTAATTAACTATTCTCTCATTTAAAATAGTAGTATAGATCTTAATTCAGCTCATGCATTCCTTGCTCTCCTATTTCCTAGAAATACCTTGGCAGAGTCAACTTTCTTTTTATAGATGAGGCTAAATTATCTTCAGGGCAATGTTACATGCTTAAGTAGTTTTCAGTAACTAAAAGAGAACGGCCTTTCTGTTTACAATATAATACAATATTTGCTTGACTAGCTTTAAATTTAATTGTAGTAATATGTTTTTATTGACTAACCTTAGTTAAGTGGCTCCAGAGCATTTTGTAGTGGTTGATCACTCTTTATTTTTGGCACTAATCCTGAGGTGTGTATGTAGTCCTTCTGCAACTGTTCAGGTTTTTCTACTGATCAGAGAAGTTGCCTTGTGAAGAAACTGGTGCCCAGTTTTTGTTATGTCCTTATGCGATTCAGTTATTGCTGGAGTGTTGAAAACTGCAGGTTTAAGATAAAAGTGACTATTGACAATGCCATTAGGTATAAACCATTTATAAATCTTAGGGCAGGTCTGAACTTTTGAGAGTAGACAGCAAACAAATATATCTTGAAATTGTCCTTGGTTTTCCCAAGATGAAGCATGACTATTAGAATATTAATATATAATGTGGAATGTCCTGAAAACAACTTCAACACATGATTGCCTTTCATTAAATGTCCACATTGCTGTTTTGGAATAATCAGACCTCTTTCAGTCTGTATAACTACATCTGAGAAACTGAAAAGTACTCACTCCAAATTGGGTGTTGCTAAATCAGCTGCCAGCGGCTTTGGCTACTGTGGTCTGTAGGAAGGGATGTTGGCATTTGTACAGCTGACTTACAAGTATCCCACTGCTCTTCGGTGTAACTGCACCAGGCAAGGGAGTTGCTAAATGTAATCAAGATAGAACCCAATTTAAGAATACTTGAATCAGTCATTTTATCCATGGAATTTAACTTTAGTCTTGCAGCTTGTTTTAAAGCCTCAAGTGGAAAGGACAATGGTACTTTAACTTAGAAAAATATTTCTTTGAAGTGTAAAATTAAACTTGATTTTTTTCCAAATTATGCTTCCAACAGTTTTTTTTTAAAAAATACTCTTAATACTGCAAAATGATGTGGCTAAAGTTTCTAAAACCTAATGTGGCACAAGTCAGGATGGATTGACAGATCTCTTTTCCCAAGAATAGCCATCCCACTCATTCTAATAGGGTAGGCAGGCTCGGGGTTCCATCCTTGAAGTGCCACCAGGTAGACTCAGAAGGGGTGCCATTTATTTAACAGTACCTGCCTTTTGGAATAATTCCACATGCCCAATGCTTCATTTGTCCTGACCCTGCCGGCCTATAAAAAACATTTGCAGCCTCCCCCCCCCGCAATTGGTCTGCGGTGATCATTGTGTGAATATAACATAGTTTGGCTATTCTCTCCATCCCTCTCTTAAATATGAAGCCCAAAGGGAAAGCAATATTGTAATGTGTGGCTATTTTTGCTAGCTGTGAAATTACACAAATGGTTCAAAAGGGATGCATGTTTTGACTTAGCATCTGCTAGAACCACTTCTGATTGACTGAAAACAGATTTGGGAGGTTTGCTTAGTAAATAGCTATACTGATGTGAACAACATTTACACACAGGCCTCTTCAAATTTCTTGAAAGAACCATTTGGATCATGTACTTTTCAATCAAGTTGTGACAGAAGATATATATACATGTCAATTTGAATCATTGTGGGTTACTTTTTCCCAATATAGAGTGCCAAAGGATTAATTGCATTAAATGTTCCAATTGGCCATCATTTTAAACACTTACTTTCTTGACACATGTCCTTTGAATATTCCTACCTGTAAATACATTAAATATGGGGGTGGAGGGAAAGCTATTTTGATTGGTCTAGAGTTTCTGCATAACAAGTACCACTACCCAAAAGGCTCTGATAGCTACTTCCTATCCAATTGGCTAGGAACATTCAAAAGTAAGCCTTCTGAAGATCTTGAAAGTTTGTGTTTGTGCTCATGTTCCATCCTTGGTAAGTTTGCTACTGTATTTGGTCAGTGTTAAATGAGTTGTTGAAATTCCTTTGTCTTCATACTACCTGGCAAATAATTTTCAAAAAAAAAAACCCCAACCATTTGAGTATATATGGTTAAGGGGCAGAGGAAAGTGCTTCCCACACTGCACATGACTTTAATCATGATTTGCTAAATCATGATTAGCTACAGTGACTAAACCAACAATCACTAAGCTATAGATATAGTAGCTGGGTAAATGCACCAAATGTAATGATATAACATGTCAATATGCAGTATAAGGTGTCTACACTTAGTGAACTGTTATCCTCCAACATTTATGGAGGAATAACTGACTGGGTATACTTGAACAAGCTATTGTGCCACCAATTCAACCAAACCCAGATTATTTGCAAGTGCATTTCCGTGGAGCCCTTGTCTTAAACTACTGGTACACAAAGACAAGTTGGGTAGAGCAGAACATGCAGTGTCAGAATAGAATAGCAATAGCACTTAGACTTATATACCACTTTATAGAGCTTTACAGCCCTAAGCGGTTTACAGAGTCAGCATATTGCCCCCAACAATCTGGGTCCTCATTTTACCCACCTGGGAAGGATGGAAGGCTGAGTCAGCCTTGAGCCTGGTGAGATTTGAACTGCCAAATTGCAGGCAGCTGGCTGCAGCAGAAGTAACTTGCAGTACTGCACTCTAACCATGCGCCACAGAGGCTCCTATAATAATAATAATATTAGCAGTCTAATAGGACTTGCTAAAACTCATATCCATGGTTCTGCTGATTTCACTCACTCAACCTTTGAATTGCTACTGTATTGAATGGGTACGTTTTCAGCAGCTTGTTTTATTACACATTTTGAACTGAACAAGTTTGGCTCTGTTCACCTATTGCAAATGGTGAAGGGAGTTGGACCCTTAACATGGATAACAGTCCACATAAGCAGGTTACCTTGATTTTCGCTTTATATGTTTACTGATAAAAGACAAGAAGCAAGCAGAAGCTTAAAGTGCCTTAAAGGAAAATGCAGACTGTACCTTTGCTGCTGGGTGTTTTGTTTTTTGTGTGGGTGGGGTGGGGGATTTGCAAAAATTGTGTGTTCTAATGTCCAACGGACATGATTTGGGCTGGAACCTTTTGAGCACAAGCTACCAGTATTAGATATTATAAAAACCTGTTGCATGTTTTTAT